GCATTAAATTTCAGTTCTTTTTTAATATAAGCAATACCACTGTCCCTGATGGTACTGCTTACTTGCATTCTTAAAGTTTTCACATATAGTATTTTCATTATTGTTTGGTTATGAATATTTTCTAATATTCATTAATTTTTCTTCTTTGACCAACAGATCATTTGAAAGTATGTTTCTTAGTTTCTAAATTTTTCGAATTGTCTTCTATCTAGTTTATTTTTTTATTTTTAATTTTTTTTGTCTTCTATCTAGTTTAGATAAATAGATGCTAGTTATATCTAGGTAAGTGGTTTGGATGACTAGAGACTTCATTGTATTGTGATCAGTGTTCATGGTCTGTTTGACACTTGTTTTTGTTATTTGTTAAAACCTGCTTTTTGGGCAGCCTGGGTGGCTCAGCAGTTTAGCGCCTCCTTCAGCCCAGGGCCTGATCCTTAGAGGCCTGGGATCGAGTCCCACATCAGGCTCCCTGCATGAAGCCTGCTTCTCCCTCTGCCTGTGTCTCTGCCTCTCTCTCTCTCTCTCTCTCTCTCTCTCTCTCTTTGTCTCATGAATAAATGAATAAAATCTTAAAAAAAAAACACCTGCTTTATATCATAGCATGTGGTCAATTGCCATAAGAGTTCTAGATGTGGGTTATGAAGAATATGTATTCTTCATCTGTTGGTCCATGTATGACCATTAGATCAGCTTGTGCATTTGTAGTTTATATCTTGTTTCCTTGCTGATTTTTCTCCCTGCTTGATCTATCAATTAGAGAGAGGTGTATTTTAAAACCTCCCATTATGGTGAACATTTCTTGCTTTCTGAAGTTCTGTCAGCTTTTATATTAATAATTGTGAGACTAAGTTATTAAATATATGCCAATTTAGAATTATTATAATATATTTCTGATGAATTAAAATATGTAATTTTGTTGTGATCCTTCCTAGTTAGTGCTTTTTGCTTTAAAGTCTATAGGCTGGGCAGCCCAGGTGGCTCAGTGGTTTGGCGCCGCCTTCAGCCCAGGGCCTGATCCTGGAGACCAGGGATCGAGTCCTGCATCAGGCTCCCTGCATGGAGCCTGCTTCTTCCATTGCCTGTGTCTCTGCCTCTCTCTCTCTCTCTCTCTCTCTCTCTCTCCCTCTGTCATGAATAAATAAATAAAATCTTTTAAAAAAATAAAGTCTATAGGCTACAATATATCAGGTTTCTTTTCATTAATATTTTGTCTTGTATAGCTTTCTCATCCCTTTACTTTCATCTTTGACAAATCCTTGTATTTTACATTTGGCTTTTATGAACAGCATGTTGGATTTCATTTGTTTATTATAGGTTGATAGTCTTTTACCTTTAACTGGAACTTTTAGTCCATTTACATTTATTATCAAGGACTGATACAGTTTATTTCTATAATCTTATGTTTCTTTTTCTCATTTTTCTTTCCTTTAGATTAACTGTAGTTTTTGTTTGTCTAAATTATTTTTATTATTCCCTTGATCTCTGAAGATCTTCTCACTGAGTATATAATCCTATTTAACAGTTATATTTTCTGTTAGCTCATTGGAGTGTTCATTTGGCTTCTCTTATTGAGAAGGTGGTACTCAGTCTAATAATCATTCCTTTGAAATTAATCTTACTTAAGGTCTTCTGTCTTTGGTTTTGTATAGTTTTGATGTCTACTTGGACAGTTATTTTTGGTTACCCTGCTTGAGATACCATGGGATTTCTAATCTGACAAACAAAATCTTTCATAAATCTGGGAAATTCTCAGCCAGCGTTTTTTTTTTTTTTGTTTGTTTGTTTTTATTTTGTTTTAAATACTGCCTCTCAGTCTCTCACTTTTCTCCTTGGGAACTCAGGTTATAAATACCTACAAGACCTTCCCACTCTGTCTCCAATGTGTTTTTTTTCCAATGTGTTTTAAAGATTTTATTTTTAAGTAAGCTCTACACTAGCATGGGGTTCAAACTTTACAACCCTGAGATTAAGAGTTGTATGTCGGGATCCCTGGGTGGCGCAGTGGTTTGGCGCCTGCCTTTGGCCCAGGGCGTGATCCTGGAGACTCGGGATCGAATCCCACGTGGGGCTCCCGGTGCATGGAGCCTGCTTCTCCCTCTGCCTGTGTCTCTGCCTCTCTCTCTCTCTCTGTGTCTCTCATGAATAAATAAATAAATAAAATCTTTAAAAAAAAAAAAAAGAGTTGCATGTCTATGGATTGAGGCAGCCAGGGACTGCTCCCATGTGTTTTAATCTATCTTTCATGGTTTTATCTTTGTTTTTCTATGCTGTCTGGACAATTTTATATTTACAGTAAGTAGTATGTTTCTTCTCAGAAGCTGATTTTGGTCTATGTGTTCTTTTCTAATATTTTCATTTTTCTTTCTTCTTTTCTTGTTTCCACAAACATAGTAAACAACTTACATTTTCTGCTTAATAATTCTAGTGTCTGAATTCTTTGCAGGTCTGATTCTGTTTGCTCCCCTGCTAGCCTTCCTGGCTATCTGGTTTGTGATTATGGCAACTTAATTTCTTATATATTTCATGATTTATTTTATTTATTTATTTGTTTGTTTGTTTATTTTTACCATGTGGAACTGAGGAACATTCTATCTGGGAAGGCTGGCTTTGAGGTATCTTCCTCCAGAAAGGATTAGTATTTGCTTTTCCCAGGTCCCGGGGGCCACTACCAACCTAGAAATACTTCAGCTGTGTTCTCAGACTGGAAAGTTTTCAGACCACACAAGTAGTTTTAGCTGTAAGCCCCTATGTGGGACACCTTACAGTTATAAATTCTCAGGAGATTTCTTTTCTTTGCTCTGTACCCAGGCTTAAGGCAGACAATTTTCTTTGCTATCCTTAGCTTAGGGGTGGGGTTTATTCCTAATTTACCTTTTAAGTGATCCCTTTGGATATTCAGGCTTCACGCATCACATGTTCTGTTAGATTTCCCATCTTGAGGTAGCCCTAGGTTTCCCTCCCCCTTTTGCCTTTTTCACAAGACATTTAAAAACCTCAAACTCAAGAGTCTTCCTGGTTTGCTCAAAAGCCTCAGAGTCTGAAAATCAGGTTGTGTGCTCTGTTTACCATTCTGGGTTCCAACTTGAACTTGGTCTCTGATAATTCTTTACTTTCTTGCTCACCCTGGAATGTATTTTAAATAATGTTATTACATTTTACCTAATATTTTAATTTTGTTTTCCCAGTGTTTGAAGTGTCTAATCCATTATACTGTAGGTAATAGCAGTCCTATAAAAAGGCTTTACAAATTCAGCTTTGCTTTTGGCTTTTTGGTGGTTTATTTTACTTTTTTCTTCTTTAGCCTTTTGAGTTTTATAGGTACCAGTTTAGTCTTCACTGTCTATACTTACCATAGAGTGTTATGAGTGATTTCTAGTGCTTCTATTGACATTACCAGTAAATATTTGTTGAGCATCTATTTACACCAAGCATTATTCTAGGAATGGGGGTGCACAGAAGTCAACAAAATGGACCGAAATCCCTGCCTTCCTCCAAGGGGCTTGAATTCTAGTGGGGATATATAGTACATTATGTAGCAATAATGCTAAGGAGAAATGAAGCAGAGGAGGAACTTTGCATCTTTGGAGAGAACAGCCTCAGGATACCTTACTGAAAGGGTAACGTTTTTAACTAAAACAGCAGGGGTGAGCTGTGAGCACTCTAGAAAGAGAAGACCTGTATGTCTTATCAATTTCTAAGAGAATACAGAATGAAAATTTTCTGTGGTTTCATATTTGTTCCATGTCACATATATTGCTTATTCTTTTCCCTTAATTTTCTTTTAACCCAAATTTTGCTAAAGCCAACTCTACAATTTTGGTTCTCCAGCTAGGAGAACTAACACTTTTTTTTTTTTTTTAAAGAGTCCACCTATTTTATTTATTTCTGAGGGAAGGAAGAGGAGCAGAGAGAGAAGGACAAGCAGACTCTGTGCCTAGCAGGGGGCCCAACATGGCTGGATCCCAGGGCCCTGAGATCATGACCTGGGCAGCAATTGAACACTCAACTGATGAGCCACCCAGGCACCCCCGAGAACTGACCCTTCTTGAACAAGCTACTTAACCTCCAGTGTCAGTTTTCCCTTGTGTCAAATAAGACCACTGCCTGTCTCTTAGGATTAATGGTGAAATGAGGTAACATTTGTAAAAGTGTTTGAATTTCATGAGGACTCAAGAAATGCTAGTTCTTTCTCTTCTATTCTTCCTTCCCTATCCACACTCCTTTCAGCACTTGTTTTTAGTACTTCTCAATAAATTTGCAATAAGCTCCTTATGCAACACCATGGAGAAACCATGTGGCAGGTTATTAACTAAAGACAAATGAGGAACATTAGAAAACTTCATTTAAAAAAAGAAACTTTCCAAAGTGGTTTCGAAAGGCTGAGTTTGATGGTCAGGGTTCAGGAGAGAAAGTCACGGCCTGTGCATTTTCCCCTGGAAGTTCTTATTTACTGTATCCTAGATCAGCAGCCCCAGGAAATCTCAATTTGTGTATGTAGCGGCCCACAGAATCTCCATTTATAGTCAACTCAAGCAGGGGGCAAGTCACATTCCTAGGCAAACATTTATATACTCACCTATACCCTCTTTCTGATTTTGCAGTGTAATTTGATGACTTTTCTTGTGATTGTTGGCATGCCACTAAAAATGGAGGCAGGGTAAGGGTGAAACTGTAGGATTCATGAAGTTTTGGTTTGGATGAAGTGGAAATCGCAGTTTAGAAATAGAAGTAGAGCTGAAAATCACTACTTTTCGTTAGATTTTCTTCCATTTGAGTGTCGTGAAACCCCCTTTTTTGTGGCACTGGTTTTAATACTGACTCCCCGTGAGCTCTCAGTGATTTTTCCCTGTCTGTCGTAAGTGATATTTCCATCATTTCCTTGCCTTGCATGGCTGTTGAGATTTCATAGGATCTGAGCACCATCAAGATAAGACAAGCGCTAAAGATAAAGAGAGCACAACTATTTATATGACATGCTTTTGTTTTTGGTCTGTCCCCAGCCCTGTCACTGACCATGCCCTGCTGGACGTGCCCTTCCTTCGACTCCCTGAGGAGATGCCCTCTGACCTCTGAGAGCAGCTGGACCACACATTCTGAAGACACCAGTAGTCCTAGTTTTGATCCCTCATACACAGACCTGCAGCTCATCAGTACTGAGGAGCAGATGAGTGGAAAGGCTTCCCAGGCTGACTCAACCGGTAAGATGGAACCCAGAAAGCTTTGCATATCACTTTTGGTGACCTATTGCGACTCTTTTTTTTTTTTTATTTTTTTTTTATTTATGATAGGCACACAGTGAGAGAGAGAGAGGCAGAGACATAGGCAGAGGGAGAAGCAGGCTCCTTGCACCGGGAGCCCGATGTGGGATTCGATCCCGGGTCTCCAGGATCGCGCCCTGGGCCAAAGGCAGGTGCCAAACCACTGCGCCACCCAGGGATCCTCTGTTGCAACTCTTAAAATCTCTGCTGCCAGCTTTGTTCACAGAATGAGTTCAGGTGTGGTAGTCAAAAATTAGAATATAGAGTGGTTCAAAATTGCGTTAGGAAAGAACATGTAAAAAAAAAAGGAAAGAACACGTACACAGATGGACGGGTTGGTTGGCAGGGTGTTAATATTGGGAAACCATTTGATATTATATCTTAATGTGCTGTTTTTTATTCAGTACAAATACTGTTCCTTGTCAATTTGCTTTCTCCTTGGATGACTGAACTATACATAATACGCACAAGGCTGAATCTTTCATTCACTTACCTGTGCACCTTCCCTTTTTAGCAAGAGGGAGGTAGATTTAAGCAAAGAAAAAGCAAATGTTATATGAAGCAGAATGAGAGTCAGGACTCAGCCACTGTGTCCAGACTACAGATCTTTTGGCAGTTATGTTTATTCTGTTGTGCTTGATTCGAGCTATGTGTCAGTCTGAAACATCCCCTGATCTCCTTCATTAAATTTTTAGTATGTGTAAGAAGGAGGCTGCCTGGCTTTGCACGTAGACTACGGGCCTCTAACAAGCACTGTATGGGGTTAGATTTAGGATGGCATTGGATAGTGTGTTCTTGGGGTTTTGTTTATTTGGCCCAAAAGATTATTTTCCTTTGAAAGTGATAGAGTTACAGATAATTGCTCTGTGGATGAATGTGCCAGGTGTGTCCAGAAATATTTGTTTTTCTTTCTCAAAAACATTGTTTAGGAATTTGTCTCGGGATCGTTTTTCATATTTGGGTAACATTTGCTGTTTTGTTGTGTGTTATTGGAGGGGTCTATGCATAGAGAAGAGGATTTCTTGCAGAGTAACAGGTTCAGACAGGATTTGGGTTGGTATTTGATAATACTGCAAAGAATCTTAGTTTATCACAGTCTCTCTTCACAAGCCTCAGTTCCTTATAGCATTTTGTTTTCACACACTCTCCATTCTGGTTACTTTCTGTGGCTTATGATCATGGTCAGTGGCTGAAATGTGCCCCTACAATCCCATCTCCACTGTGGGGAGCATTTCATGGTGGGAGGGCACCATCAGAAGCCGAGGCAGTTAGGAATGGACACTGTACTCACCCTCTTCTTCCCTCTCCTCATTCTCAAGCACCTTTCCCGGCCCTTCCATGGGGGATGCATGTAACACACTGGTTAGGAGCATGCAGACTCGGGTTAGACTGCTCAGATCCTCTTTCTTCCATTTAGCTATGTGACTTTGGGCAAGATCCTTAATATCTTTGTAACTCAGTTTTCTCACCTGGGAAGTGGAGATAACAACCTATCAAGTTGTTGTCAGTTCTAAGTGAGGCAGTTTATGTAGAACAACTTACACGATGCCAGACACAGGATCTGCGTGGTTGTGGTTTCTTCTCTCTCCCGCCCTGGGGTTCATATTGCTTGAGAGAGTTGTAGGTGGGCTCCTCACTGTGAAAAAGTCAGGATCTCTAGGCTCAGCCTTTTTTTTCCCCATGACCTCTCTACTTAGATGAAAATTGCTCCAATTCCTAGAGGTTCCAGTGATGAACATCAGAGTCCTACTCTGAGCTGGACATGGTTAATCTGTCTCCAATGCTTATAATTGTTTTCAGTAATTTCCTGAAGCCATACTAACAGTATTACATTTCCCAGTGAGTAAATCTCTTCCCTCATTGTTTTTGGTCAGAGTCCTGACAGGAGGCAAATGGCATCTTCAAAAAGGTTTATCAGAAGAGGGTTTAATGAAAGGACTACTTACAGAGGCAGCACGAGCTAGAATCATGGAAGAGGCACTGCCTGACAGGTGCTGTGGCTATAGGAAAGATAGAAATTTGGTAAAGTGGGGAGTGAGGGGAGAATGAGTGCCCAGATCTTGTGCTAGTGTTTCCCACTGGCAGATCCCAGCTGACAGTCAAAGGACACAGGGCCCTGGTAAGGCAACCCACTGAGGTCAGCCCACAGGCCATAGAGCTGGTGGAGAAGAAGGAGAGAATGGATTTGGGGTGAGGGTAGGGATGAAGCAAATGGAGAATAGCCAACACACTTTCGTCTCCACCAGGACCTCAATGGCCTGTAGCCCAGGGTATCTCTGGAGAAGCAGAGGTAAGACTAGGACTGTGGAACAATGAATGATGCTTGTAGTTCTCTCCTTCAGTAGGACACAGTTCTATAGCTACGGGAGGCTAGAGGTGTGGCCTTTTGGCAACCGTCCTTTTTTACAGAAGTGATAATAATCGCAGCCAGCACTTTCTGAGTGTGTGCTATGTGCCAGTAAATGATGTGTATCATCTCTGGCCTTTACAACAATCCTGTATGACAGATGTCTCTCTCCCCATCTCCTAGTTGATCCTGCCTGGAAGGTTAAGATGCTTGTCTCAGACAATATCAGTAGAAATGGATGAATGTGGATTTCAAACAAAGTTCCAAAGCCTTTTTTCATGATTCCCAAACCTGGAGGTGCCCCCAGAGTCATCATGTTTATCATTTTCCTGCCTTCCCTTCCAGACCTTCTGTACAGTTAGGTGTAGAGGATGCATATAATTATATACACATATTTTGCCACCGAGTTTATGTTTTTTAAAGATTTATTTATTTATTTTGAGAGAGAAAGCATGCATACACGAGAGGCAGAGGGAGAGAATCTTCAGGCAGACTCCCTGCTGAGTGTGGAGCCTGACTCACGACCCATGAGATCATGACCTGAGCTGAAGCCAAGAGGCAGATGCTTAACTGACAGAGCCACCCAGACACCCCGACCATGGGGTTCATTTTTGACATAAATAGAATCAAAAGGTTTTTAAATAAGGTATATTATAAGTGGAATATGAGGAATAAGTTCATGTTTAGCAGATACGAATGCTTCTAGAGGACTCCTGTGTGCCTACAGTATTGTGTGATGTAAACAAGTTTCTGGACACTCCACTCTGTAAAGAAAACTCCTCATTTTTAAGTAATCAGACAAAGGCCCAGGTTGGCCCAGAGGAATGCCTCCATCTCCTTCCCACCTCACCTCCACCCACTCTTCCAGGCCTGGAAGTGGCAAGTGGCATGCCTTGGGGCCCTGCAAAAATGAGAGTGAGGTGAGTGGCCCAGGCTGTGTGAACAGTGTCTGGATGCAGCTTCAGATACTGAAATGCCATGAGCCTCTTTCTGAACATCTTGACTATGTAGTTAAGGCAGAATTCTGGCTTTGAAAAGTCTCTAACTCATCCTGGACAAGGAAAAAAAAAAAAAAAGCTTAGGAAAATGATCAATTATTTCTAAACTTGTGGCCTTTATTTTTTATTTCAGTAGTTGGGAATTTATAAATGCTTTCATTTGCGCTACTGAGAGCTTCAAAGCAATCTAGACACCCTTGAAAGCAGCCCAGTTAGGTGGCTGCCTGTCTACCACCTGGCACCAGGCTGTGCCAGTGGCCAACCTCCTGGAAGGGTCTGCCTGGAGGCTGGATGGTTCAGTCAGGCTAAACTAAATCCTCATGAGGGTATGAGGCGGAGTCTGGTCTGTCTCTCTCTCTCTGGGCATGTCCTTTCCCTGGGGCCACCATTCCTCATCTGTGAACTGGGGCTGAGTACCCCTCCCAGACTGGGCGACAGGATGTGTGTGAGGGTGCTTCATGCAGTGCAAAGTGTGGCAGGAATTTTTAAAAAATCCTAATTTGATAGCTCTGGGCCTCATTTCCCTTTGACATGGGAAATAAGGATAATCACTGGGCCAAAGAGGACGCTAAACCATACACCTGAGAAGGGTTTTACGTTTTTTGGAAGCAAGCCATGGGGACACGCAGAGAGGTGCTGCGGGAAAAGTTCAGTGTGGGTGCTTTGTGTAGTTAAGGGCTTGAGGGGCCTGGGGAGGAGCTGCCTCAGGGAGACTTTTGGTGTTTATCTCCCCCCTACCCCATACCTTTTAGCCTTGCAGAGGGAGGTGGAAGGTGAAGAATGGCAGCCTTCATCAGGAGCTCCAGCTGGCCTGGGCTTTCCCTGGAGGCACGCTGTGGGATCATGTGGCTGGGGCAGAAGCTGTGATTCACCGCCTGCGTGCAGAGCGTTATGGGGGCCCGGGCCCAGCCTGTTTACCTTGGCCTCGTTGCTCTGCGCTGGGCTGCGGCAAGCCGCAGACTCCTCCCTGTCATCTGCAGCAGGACTTCTGCAGGGATTTGGCAATCCTGATCCCCAGCATATTTGTGGGAGGGAAGGACTCTGTGATCATCCCACACTTTCTTCTCCTTTTCTCACCAAGGGAGTAAATTAGGAGGAGGAAGGCAAACAAATCCCCTCACCCTGGTCACATCACAGATGGTATGGGGCAGTGCTGGAGAGCCTGTTGATATTTGCTCTGGGATTCAGCTCTCCAGAGCACATGGCAGGAGAACTGGGAACAGGCAAGATATTTAATAACACGTGTTTCCTCTCTCATCCCTTCCTCCCCTAGGGGCCCCCTTTCCCTGAACGACAGGCATCCCCTGTCATCTTCACCAGACAGCATAGCTCTGTAACACCACTAGTTTTACATGGGATGATAAACAGGAAGAGTATTGAGGGAGTAAAAATAAGCCTCTGAAAGTCCATGGAAGCAGGAAAGAGAAAACACAGAAATGTTTGCAGGAGCACAAGCTGTTGTTAAGTGGTGGGCTTCCATTTTGGTTTTCTTTTACATACAAGATAAGTGGAGAGTTTAAGCGTAGGATTAACATGCTCAGGCATACGTGTACACCGAGGAATGTCAAGCCTGGGTGAAGCACATAGCAGGTGTT